AAAAAATCACACATCGAAACACGAAAGCCGTGTGAAGTTCACTTCCCAGCTATATGAATAATTTTAAATCAAAAAGCAGATAGTGAATGAAAAAACAAAAATACTGTCCGCAGCAGTACGATTAATGCTTTTTATACATGTCATGTAACGTGAAGCGAACATATCGTTGCCGCAGATGGCGCAATATAGTTCCAGTGCTTTTTTTGCTTACATTATTACAGAATTTCGTTCAAAGAATTTGCTTCCCTTGAGCATACTTACAATATTCATCCGTCCCTATGCGTTCTGAGCTGCTTATTGGACGGGAGAGAGGAGAACTCGGAGCAGAAATAGTCAGCGGAGCGGAGTACGATATGGCCACCTTAAAATTATTGTGATCATTAAAAATGCTATTATTTTTCTTCATTGTCAGGTTTCGACTCAAAAGCTTTTATGACCACTTCTCATCATGCATTAGAACTCCCGTTATACTTTCAAAAATCAAAAGTACCTAAGGAATTTGCCCACAACATTAGCTTAAAAATAAACGCTCAGCTTGGCTTGAAAGAAAAATTTAGCTATCTGGTTTTCTTCGTCAAAACATTTGTATTCACTTTTTTTAATGCCGAGACTGAAAAAAACCACAAAAATTACACCGCAGCTTTGTCTTCCTGTACATTGCGACTCTTTGGAAAAATCTTTGGAATAATGAGAAGGCATCAAAGCGCATATTTTTGTCCACTGCAATTTCGGTTCTTCGCTTTGTTGAGAAAAAAATTTGCACTTCTATATAGGAAAATTTTATCTATAAATAGAGAATTCCGTAAGTCGAACACTAAGTTTGGTAAAATAAATGTACAATATCTTTTCATATTTAAACCTTCCAAATGGCATTAGATAAGGTGCGACTGGTTTTTTGTTTTATTTACTCCTACCTCAAAAAACATCACTGGGTCCAGTAGACTACCTGTTTTCACTAAGGTTACTACTTGACCAACTCTTCTCAGATGAGCAAATTCAGGTGATTTTGGCTTGCTGAATAAACACTTTAAAATATTCTAAAACTACAGCTAGTTTTGACATGATGGAAAACAAGTTAGATATTTCCCTCTTCCTTCTATTCAATAAACTCATAAGCTTATTTTTGTCTATATTAATGATTGTGTATGGTCACGTTGATCAATGCATACCGACATAAAAGGCTTTAGAATGGCGGAAGATATTGCAATGACTTTCATTGTCTAAGCTGTTTTAGGACGCCTATTGGTCGCATCTGCTCGCCTAACACAAATTAATTCATTTTGTTAGAAATAATTTTGCAGATTTATGCTTTTAAATTACTAGCCATTCAGTTGTGGATTCTTGCTTCGATTGTTAAGATTAGAAAGTGCTTATGAATGTGGTAAAGTGACTACATGTTTTGCCTTACAATCCCCATATAGTTGTTTGCTGCTTTGAAACTTTCTAACCGAATATGGAAGGGTGCAAAAGTTTTCAGAAAAAAATTAAATCGTTCAAATTAGTGGATATTATATCACTTAAAACATAGCAGATTTTATGTAATCCCAGAATTATTCTCTCGTTTGTTATTTGCGAACTAGATTTGAACCCGACATATATATACAACACAATAATGACCCAATTAATTGAAGTGGCCTATTAAATACGTGATAGTAAATGCAAAGAAAGTAGCAGTACTAGTACTTGCCTCCTGCACAATTTGATTATGATGGTAACGGGCTGGAGCTGGATAGACCGTAGCCTAAAAATGTAATTAGTGCGTCTCTGTTTCAAGATGTGTTAGAGAAAAAACTTAGACCTTGCTACTGAATTTTCGTTTGCGACAAAAATCATCATCGTCGTTCCCTTCTATGAAGGCGGGAGACGCCGACATAGTATACATAGTTTCTGGAAGAGAATAGTGTTCAGAAGATTTTAAGCATTTAGAACAATTACGGGTGCACGCTTGAAAATGTGCAGTTTAGCTCATGAACAAACGATAAACGTTTTTTTTTTTGCTAATTCTGTGAACAGGAGAAGAGCATCATTTTCACAGAACATACGGGGATGCAATGCATCGAGGTGTGCGACCAAGAGTTTGCACAGTCGCCGCGCATCTCGATGGAAGCGCCCTGCTATTTCGACGATGACTCTCACAGACTCGTTGATACAACTATTCCTCAGACACACCCATCAACACCTATAACGCGGTACACCCGACAAAACATACAGAAATGCACTCACTTGACCCCCTTGAGGGGGTGTAGACGACCTTTCGCGTTTGTGGATACTGCCGCTGCTGCTTCGTATGGAAAATGTGGGCAGTGGTGATCTCTTTCTGCTAAAATACGGGGAAATAGAGTTGTTTTGTTTGCGCTGGGAAAAAGTGTTTTGGCAGTGATGCGCACAAAAGTTCTGTTATGATTGTTTGCTCTCAAAATGGAACGTTCTCCAGAAAACCAGCGTTTTCTTGAAGTGATGGCGATTGTACAAACCCATAGGCCATCGCATCAGCAAGGAAGAGAGAAAATACGAGAAAACATGCGTGTAACTACTCGTAGTGCATCAAAGCAAAATCGAGTAGTATTTAAGAAGAAGAAGGTTAAAAGCGTGGTGTTCGAAGATGCATAAATCAAATCTGTAGTCTACTAAATTACAGTTCAATTCATTCTTATAAAGTTATAACTTATTAAAAAGCAAACGAATTTAAGGAGTGCTTGGATGCCGTACATTAGATGAGCATATTTTCTTAATGGTTATAGAGATTAGAATCAGAAATCTCTTCAACACCAATGAGTTTTGAATCATACGAATCAAACGATATATTATTCTTATTCATAACAAATGTGAACAAGAAGAGGTCATTGAGGGAGGTGAAAAACCCGACCAGGAATCAATCTCGGTGCGCTCGAAGAATTGTCACAATGTCGTCTCAAGCAATAAACTACAAACACTGTAGAGACATTGTCAAAGATACGACTATACAGCAGTATGGCCGTCTTGAATATTTTTTGAATACGTCAGAACCACTGATGCAATGCAGCCGATATGGGAACGGATCTCCGAGTAGCCTCGAAGATTGACTAAGTGAGGGGAATCTTAGAAAAGGATAAAATGATTCAAGACAAATCAAGATATCAGGGCAAGGATGTAGGTTCACCCAAATGGATTCTCCAACAGTATGTTTTGCTTTTCCATTCTCTTCCATCGTCACAGTAGAAAGAGGCAAAAACATGCAAATCGATGGAGTGAAGACCTATAATCCCCGCCGTCCTAGTTCCTGAAGACGGTAGTGTGTCGGACCGAAACGGCGAATTATAAGATGAGGTTATTTTCGACATTCTCGCTGGTCCTCAGAAGACGGAGCAGTTTGAAATTGCCGTGAAAATATGCTTTTTTGAAAATCTCATACAACTAAAAGTAGGGGAACAAAAAGGAAAGATGCAGCTTGTCAAGAACATGTTCACGCAAGCAGATGTCCTCTCGCATAAATGTTCCGTTGAGCAGAATGCAAAAATGAAAGGCACTCGTCAATTCAGCAGGCATCTTACCGGTATGAGGCAACGGGCGAGGACAATGGCGTGAAGAAATCGTCTAGCGGCAGCGGTAGCTTGCGCGGCAAAGACAGTCAAGTGGGGAGAAGGCCGAGTGCGACTCCAGACCAACCACCACCATCTCACTTGTTGTGCTGCTGCCTGCGCA